AGCTTAGTGTGGAGGCCCAGGATTCAATCCCTAGTATCATTTAATGAATTTTTAAAGGCTGGCTCTGGGTTCATTTTATTTATTTATTTATTTAGTATTTTAAGGAAGGGGCTACAAGGTGTTCAGGGTCAGGGTCTCACTACTAGACTGGACTCCTGGTGATCCGCCTGTTTACAGCCTCCCAAGAGCTGAGGCTACAGGCGCGCACCACCACGCCCAGTCTCAATTGCCATCTCAGCACTCCCTGCACCCAATCTGCTAAGCTATTTGGCCATCCCTTGGCTCTGGGTTCAAATGTCCTCTGTACATAAAAAAAGGAGGATGGAGAGAAGAAGAAACACTGGCTCCAGGCTTCCCAAGAGGCAGGCTCCCTCTTCTCTCCCGCTCTCTTCCTTCTGTTTGGAATAGGGTGTGTTGGCTTTGGTGCTGAGTGAAAGACAATGTGTTTCTCTAGGAACCCAGGTCTGCAGGAGCCAGGAGTTTGGCCAGCACTGCTTGTTGACCACCCCATATCATATCCTGAAGGGCTCTACTCCACCCATTGGGCAGCCTGGGGCTGATGGGAGCTTATACCCCACTGTCCCTAGACACCCCCAGCCAGCTTGCCCTGCTGTCTCCCCCCTGCTTCCCCAATTCATACCAGGAAAACAGAGGAGAGGTCTCAAATGGGGTGGGTCCTGGGCACAGCAGGGTGGAGAGAGGAGGCCATATCCTTTTTTGGTTTCCTTTTCTCAAGGCAGAGGGGAGTTTGAAGAAGCTATTATTTTTTACTTTACAGTTGAGGGATCTAAGGCTCAGAGAGGGTAGCCATTTGCTCAATCTGCCAGGACCCCAGCCTGAAAGGAAACTGAGCCAAGAGCAAATCACAGAGCTTACTCCAGATCCTCAGCCTCCTAGGCAGCTGGCCATTCCCTTCCGTTGCTGACAATCCCTGCTTCTTGTTTAGGGGAGGGATAGGGACTGGAAAAATGAAGACATGCCTAGCACCATACAGGGTAGATAGGACAGGGGGAGGCGACCCCACTTCCTGGGTACCTGCACCCAAACACGGGAGAAGCTCCAGGAACTGTGGGCACACCTTTATACAGTGTCTTGGGCCAGGGTGGACAGAACTACAGTGAGCTTAGCAGGATGCATGCTGGGGAAAGGGGTATGGAGGACCTGCCCCTGAGGATTCTGGGAGTGAACAGCTGGGACATGATGACTCAGCACTGGAGAACAGGACTCCCACATGGGTCTCCCTGGCAGCCTCACAGCAGGCAGGTGAGTAGACTTCTCTTCCCTGCTTCCTACAGGTGTGAACATGATGTTGAGGAAGATCGCTGTGGCTGCCGCGTCCAAGCCAGCAGTGGAGATCAAACAGGAAGGTGACACTTTCTACATCAAAACCTCCACCACGGTGCGCACCACAGAGATCAACTTCAAGGTTGGGGAGGAGTTTGAAGAGCAGACCGTGGATGGGAGACCCTGTAAGGTAAGAGCCCGGGAGGGACCTGGACATTACGAATTCACCACCGGGCTCTCCTGTATTCTCTTCTCCATTTGCCATGGAGAAGCCCTTGGGAATGTGCAGTAAGATCTGTCCTTTACCACTTCACTGCATGGCTTTGTGAGGGGCCCAGCTCACTGGGCCACCTGTCCTTTGCAGAGTTTGGTGAAATGGGAGAGTGAGAACAAAATGGTCTGTGAGCAGAGGCTTTTGAAGGGAGAGGGTCCCAAGACCTCCTGGACCAGAGAACTGACCAATGATGGAGAGCTGATTCTGGTGAGTCCCCCTTTCTCCAGACTAAGAGCAAACCCAGGGCCACTTTCAGAGACTCCTGGGAGACTTGAGGATGCAAGAATTTCAAGAGCCACCAGGCTGGTCTTTCTACCATCGTGATGGGGCTCCTCGGAGGCCATCCCCATGACATGGAGTGTGGCTTGGAAGTCCTGTCGCTTTTGTGTGGAGCTACAGCTCTCCAGGTGGATGCCCTGGCTTGGGAGGATGATTGCCAGGTGACAGCTGGGTATTTGGGAGCAGCTCCTCCCTGATTGTTGGTCCTGATCCCCAGCCAGCTTTGGACCTGCAGTCAGCCCTCCTTCTCCAAAACCATAGGAGCCCAGGGTAACAATGACTTCTGTCTTTCCAGACCATGACAGCAGATGATGTCGTGTGCACCAGGGTCTACATCCGAGAGTGAGTGGCCGGGGTTCAAGAGCTGCCCAAGCCTGCCACGGCCCCCCCCCCTGCTTCCTGGCCAAGGGCTGCGAACCCTCCCGTGCACCCTCCTCCTAGGTTAGCTCTCTCCTTGCCCCATCACTTTCAATGGTTGCTGGGATGCCTCTTGCAGGGTTTTAATCCCTTGCCTCCCCCTGTGCCAAGGATGGAATGCAAGAGCCCAGGTCCCAGTCTATCACTCCCCTGCCCAAGCCAGCAGTCCCAGCCTCAGATGAACCCCAGCTGAGCCTCTTTCCAGGAGGGGGCTGAGGCCTGAATGAGAAAACTGGCTCTCTGGCTTACACTTCTTGTCCCTATAGATTTTGCAGTTTAGAATATTTATTTTTTAATTTTATTAAAATGTTTTAAAAATTAAAACTTGTTTCTGACTCATTGGCAGTGGTAGATAAGTCACCTGAGCTTGGCCTTGCTTAAAATGTAGAGTGAAATTCCTGTCAGCCTTCTAGCCAATGAATCCACCTGCGTTGCCTCCACAGCCTGTCCTCATGTGCCTTGGTCCCCTGTGTTGGCATCCCCATCAAGAAGGCTACCTCTTCCTCCTACACTCAGCAGGGCCCTGGGTCTGAGGAATAAACTCACCTTCCCCATGGTGTCCATGGTGGTGACATACCCTCCCCTCTTCCAGGTGACCCTTCTCACCTCACCGTTTATCTGTGAACAATGGCAGGCCTTGCCTTGGCCTCTCACACAGTTCTTTGTGAGCACACCATCATCCACACCTACAGACCAGCCTTGCTTCTGCCCAGGTCTCTCGGCAAGAGGTCTTATCCCAGTTGCCATCCCTCTGCCTGAGCAAGCCTATCTCGGCCACTGTCCCTTATTCCCACCCCACAGCTCACACATGCCCATCTTGCCTCTGGCTTCCAGATCTCTCAGGCTACCCTCCCCTGATCCCCCACACTCAGGTCTGTACCAAGTCTCCCCAAACTCTATGCTGGTCTCTCAAACTCTCCCATGGGCCACTGGGTCAGAGCAGACCCCAGTGCTCACCTAGCCCTACATGGTAGCAGTTTCTAATTGGCTCCTAGTCCTGATGACCCACTCTGGATGCCAGAGAGACTCTGGATGCCAGAGAGAAGCGGCAAATGTGTGGGAATAACAGGGGTTCAAATCTTGGTTCTGCCACTTCTGTCACTGCCTGAGTGACCTTGGCTCTATTACTTGGCTTTTGGTGTGTGTCTTTGTGGCTGGCTCAGCCCACCCTGAGGGCAGGGCTGATATGGCATGTGCTGCTGGGGATTGAACCCCATGGTCCCTACACTTGCCTAAACTTACCTAAGCAGGCGCTTTAGACCGCTGAGCTATCTCACCAGCCCAGTACTTGGCTTCTTAGTCCAGTTTTTTTTTGTTTTTTTTTTGTTTTTTTTTTTTCCAGGACTGGGTTAGTCCAGCTTTTTGTCTTTCTTCTTTCTTTCTTTCTTTCTTTTTTTCTTTCTTTCTTTCTTTCTTTCTTTCTTTTTCTTTCTTTCTTTTTTTTTTTTTTTTTTTTTTTTGTACCAAGGATTGAACTCAGGACCTTGCACTTGCCAGACTAGCACTTATTCCCCTGAGCCATCTCCCAGCCCCTTTTTGTGTTTCTAAAATCCACAATAATGTAACTGAATGGTTTAGACACTAGGAAGTTCTAGCCAGGCCTGGATAGGGGTGGGGCTGATCCAGAGTCTCTAGCTATAGAGCTCTGCGGCTCTGCGGTTCTTTCTTTTGTGCATTGCTCATGTTCACCTTGTCACACGTTTTGCACATTGCAAGAGATCAGCTTCAGATGCCACAAACTCACAAAGGTGTCACTTGATGTCCAAACACAAGAGTGACCCTCTCCCAGGACGTTATATGTCTTCAACAGGCCAAGACTCATGTGCTGATGAGATGGCTCAGTGGTCTAAAGCACCTACTTAGAACAAGCTTAGCAAAGCACAGGGACCACGGTTCAATCCCCCAGCACCACATGCCAGCCAGCCTGCCCCCTGGTGGGCTGAGCTGGCCACACATACACACACACACACACATAAATAAATAAATAAATTAAAAAAAAAAAAAACAGGCCAAGAGTGCTGCTTGGGTCACATGACTGTCCCTTGGCCTGTTGGCAGGGCAGTGGACCCAAGGGTGAGGCAGGCCTGGGCCCCGTGAACAAGGAACAGAGAGGGCACTGTGATGATTTCTCCAGAATCCAAGGGATAGGAAGGAACAAATTCCCGATGAGGAAGGTCTCTGAATCACAGGTTTTTTGTTTTGTTTTGTTTGTTTTAATTTTATTTATTTATGTGTGTGTGTGTGTGTGTGTGTGTGTGTGTCCAGCTCAGCCCACCAGGGGGCGGGGCTGGCTGGCATGTGGTGCTGGGGGATTGAACCGTGGTCCCTGTGCTTTGCTAAGCTTGTTCTAAGTAGGTGCTTTAGACCACTGAGCCATCTCACCAGCCCATGAATCACAGGTTTTTAATCTATGAAATAGCAATTATAAATAACATCTCACAAAGTTATTGTAAGAGTTAAATAAACACCTAGCACTTAGCAACAGAAAACCCTCAACAAAAACAATGATTCAACTAGGTTTGGTGGCACTAGTCTGCAGTACCCTCTACTTGGAAGGCTGAGGCAGGAGGATCTCAAGTTCAAAGCAGCCCGGGCAACTTAGTGACTTAGTGAGATGTTCTCCCAAAATAAAGGACCAGGATGTAATTCAGTGGCACAGTGCCTGCCTGGCCAGTGTGAGGCCCTGAGTTCAATTTCTGGTAGTAAAAAACCCAACTAAACTGACAAAAAAATAAATAAATGAATAAATACAAAAAAGATTGGGAGGTAGCTCAGTGTGAAGATCCTGGCTTTGATTCCCAGCACTCTAGAAGATACATAAACAAATAGAACAAATAAAACACAGGTTCACCTTAGCTACCTCTTTAAGAACAGAGTAAAGGTCACATTGGCTCTACAGTCTCTTTGCACCCTGCATATCCCTAAGTGGCCTCTCCCTCCATCAGTGCTGACTGTCTGGTCAGGCTGCACAGCCTCTGTACCAGGAGATGAGACTCCTCTCTCATTGAGACAGAAAAGGGAGTCCAGGGCCTCCCACTTCTACCCCATGAGGGGTCACACACTGCAGAGGGCCAGGGCCAGAGTGGGGTGACAGTGTCCAGAGCCTGTGGAAGGTGAGTCCCCTGTCTGAGCTGACTGTGGAGTCAGGAAATGAGAGGTCCCAACTATGTTTTCCCAAGAGTCTCCTGGGAGTCAGGCACACTGCTAAGCCCAGGACACGTGGAAATGAATACAATGGGGGAGCACTCTAGGCTCAAGGCGTGTGTGTTGTGCAGGGGGTAACAATGGCCTTTAGTGGGCGAAAGATGGGGAACTGAAAAAATAAGAGCACCAGTAAATACATAGCTAAAAATTTTTTAAAAATAAAAAAATAAATACACAGCTGTGTGGCGTGTAAGTGCTACAAAGGAAAGGGAGAGGGAGAGGAAGCAGGCGAGCGGAGGTCATGGAGGCTGGGGTGGGCACAGGTGCAAGGAGAGAAGGTGTCTGCAGGACCTACGGAGTAGGGAGCAGTGGGCACCGACCAGGACAGGGTAGGCAAAGGCTGGGGACAAAGAAACACTGCAGGGCCGGTGAGATAGCTCAGTGGTCTAAAGCACCTGTTCAGGCAAGCTTAGGCAGAGCACAAGGACAAGAGGTTGATCCCTGGCACCACATGCCATGCCAGCCCCTCTTCCCCGCCCCCAGGGCAGGCTGAGCTGTCCACAAAAACAAAAAACAAAGAAGCACTGGAGTCCATAGGCGGAGAGCTGGGAGGCTGCAGGGTGGTCAGGGCTGGGTCTGCAGTGAAGACTACACCAGTACTTTTTATTTTAAAGAGGACAACAT